CCCTCTGCATCCTCTATTCCCCCCTTCCCACCTCCATCCCCATCATCTCCCCTCCCCCTCTACTCCCACCTTCACACCTACATCTCCACACTTTTCACGCTCTATTTTTTCCCTCCCCCTTGTCCCTCTTTCAAATGCTTCCACCCTATGATGTACACCAGATGACTTTCTTCACGTCCAGATTCAGCCTGAAAGTTCCCGAGCAGTGTGAATGCTTCTCTCTCGGACAGACTGCTACACACGCGCGCATAGCACTACGTCTCGGATTAGCTCTGCTTCACACCAATCCCGACCCCAGCTGCATCTCGAGATCTGGATGCCTCGCTAGCCCAACATCTGATTCAGTGCCAAGGCGCAGCTTGCCAGCTTCCCCTCCTCCTCTCCTTAACACTCGGCATGCGTGTTCAAAGGAAGCTTCCCGCCAAATTGATTTTTTTTTGATCCAATGGGGTCAGTTCCAGCAGGGATCATTTCCCCATGCCTCAACCACCGGGGCTGTCTGGCCGCTATCCCACCCATTGGGCAGTCAAAGGGCGGACGTCCTCAGTCACCGAGGCGCCACTGTCCCCATGCCTCAACCGACCAGGGGTCATTTGTCCCACCCAGTGGCCACCACTGTGGCACTGCCCCCAAGGATCAATTCCCCATGCCTCAGCCACGGAGGCTGTGTGGTCACTGTCCCAACAGGGGTCATTTGTCCCACCCATTGGGCAGCCAAAGGCTGGACATCACCGGCCGCTGCACTGGACGTTCAGACTTTGGACCAGCTTTAGGCTGTATTTGGGCTCTGAGCTTACAGTGTGTACTTGCCGAAAGAGGAAAGAAGAGCTATGGCAGCAATGGAGGAAAATTAGGAAATCACAGGTGCACAGCAGCCAACGGGCGTTATACTTCTGTTGGTCGTCTTTTCGTAACGGATGATCCTCAAAACCATAATCTGTTAATATACGACGTAAATCAGGATGGTTGGAAAAATACACACCAAACATATCCCATACTTCTCGTTCCCACCAACCAGCTGCCGGAAATATTTTGACTACTGAACAGATGGAAGTTATTTAATCTACACGTGTATGTACGTATTTGGAAACAACGACTTGTAGATATTGGTACTGTTACTGCACAACAGGCTATGGATCGGGATTTAGTGGTGTAATGTTAAGAGGTTCAGGGGTTTCCTGGGATTTGCGAAAAGCAGCACCCTACGATGTTTATGACAAAGTAGAATTTGATGTACCCGTAGGTACACGAGGAGATTGTTATGATCGTTATTGTACTCGAGTCCTCTCCGAACCGTACGAGATAGTCACCTATCATACGGCTCTCTATTCTACTTGCTTCGTAGTTCCAGTCTTCGAGTGAGTGAGTTGAGTGAGAGGCCGAAGTAAATAAAAGAAAACGCAAGAGCGCCCATAGGATCACGTATACAGACGATTTATTTTTAGAATTGAATTAATTTCGCCAGATTACAGAATACATACGTATATGACCTTTCCCGGAGAAGGAGGCTTTTTTTTCTTTTCTGATTTCTTCTTTTTTTCCCGTGCTTCTGCGGCGGTGTTCCTTTGCACAAAATGGCGGTACATCTTTCCATTTCTAGCTGAAGATTCATTCCCATTTTGTGCATTTGGTGAGTGGAGATGCGAGGCTGGCTGTGCGCTCATCGTACCTCCCACTCACCAAATGCACAAAGTAAGAATGAATCTTCAGCCAGAACATGGAAAGATGCACCATCGTTTTGTAAGAGATCACTTGTTGTGAGTAATAATGGAGTCAGACGCAATGTGGTGGACAATGTGCATCTTTACATGTTCCAGGCTTCCAGCTGAAGATTCATTCTCACTTTGCTCTTTTGGTGAATGGACGATTGAGGTCGGCTGTGAACTCATTATAGCTGCAGCGGTAATATTAGGATATGTATAGTGATAGATATATATCACAGTGTAATCATTTAGGGGATTCTGCAGACTGTTGAGGGTTCAGCCTCCAGATGAGTCTGTTGGTGAAACTCCGACGAAACAGTTTGTCACGGCCCCTCGTTTGTTGTCCTCTTCTTGCACTCTGCCTACATATTACTGGGTAGCTACTGTTGACGATATATTTCATTAAAAGATGTATTGAGATTTTATTCAGTTTATAATTTTTTGGGCATAGCGTTGCATGAATGAAATGATACATAATTAAATTTGCAATATGATATAAATACTTATATAATATGATATAAACATGGTAACCGCGGACCCGGACACCGGACACTTCAGGACTGTCTTCCATGTTTCAGTTGAAGATTCATAGGAGGTTATTCGTTGAGTAGTGGAGCCAGCCCAGCATGACGGTGCATCTTTCCATGTTCCATCTGAAGATTCATTCTCATTTTGTCCTTTCGGTGAGTTGAGGAGTGAGGTCCGCTGTGACCTCATTATAGCTGCAGCAGTTGTGATAAGTCAAATAACTGTTCCGTACTGCGCAGCTTCATGTACCCTTCGGATTAAACCCCGAAGTAAGCCACGAGGACGGATCACAAAGTCTTAGAATGAAAAGTTAGAAGGCGGTCAAATCTGAATTCTTGCATGAAAAGGCCTGTGCTTTCTTGACAACTGTCCTTATATTTCACCGGCCAATTAGCGCTCGTGTGGGAACTTTTAAAGAAACAGTTATTATTTTTGTTGTTGTTGTATTTTGAATTTCTTCTTGATATGCGCGTGCGGAAGGTAGTTTGAATTTTTGCAAGTTTACACAAGCCAACTTAACGCTTGTGCACGCGCGCCAACTTCTCTTCTTTTGATCGCTGTCTTTGTCCGTGTGCACCTCTTCGTCTTGCTCCTTCCCTCCCGGCAAAGGGTGATTGGTCGCAAGTCGAGTTGGTCGGATCAAGCCATAAGAGCAGAGTTGCGCATGCCACTTGAACAATGATTATCAACCCGATTTCTGTGAAAATTTTTCCCACCCTTCTGGAACTTCCCCCTCCCTCCCATCAATCTCTCTCTCCATCCCCCCCGTCTTGCAGGCTGACGCCCCGCCACCTTCTCCGCTATAAATTTGCCTAATCCTTTCCTCTTCTCCTCTTTGGTCTCAGCTGCAATGTTGCGCAGACTGTGTGCAAAGACTACGACGCCGAATACCCATAGACGAGCGCAGTGACAGCATGGGGTAACTCTAGCAATAGTGTCAGTAGGTTGTAGTTGGAGAGATTGAGCAGTGGTGGAGACAAGGGTGCGGCCAGGCACAGGGCCTTGTCACCCCCCTCTGGCTACGCTGGTGCACGCCTCAAGGTTGGATACGGTGAACTGCACACGCAATGCCATGGCGGCAGCATTGATAGTGTTTTAAGGTTGGTAGAGACTTCAGTTTTCTCCGTGGCTGCTTGACATGCCCGAGTCTGCATGCATGCTGAAGACTAGGACATGTACTAAGTCATGTGCATGGCCTTGGCTGTGAGTGCCGAATGAACTGCGTGACTGTTTTGTGTCAGGAAGTCAGTCGAAGTCTATGGATGTTATGCATGTTGAACTTGGGTGTATGTATGTATGTTTGTAATTCTCCCCCATTACACACACTTCCACTTGCATGTGTTGAAGAGTTTGAAGTGGTTCCGCACGTATAGACTTGTTTGTGTGTCTGTATGGATGATTTCTGCTTTAACTTGTGCTGAAGTAATAATTACTTTCGGCATCTTTGTCTATAATTACTTTCTTGCAATTTTGGTTTGCATCTGGGCTGAGTGAAGTGGGCTTTGATCAGAAATTGTATGGAGTCGAGGTTGGCCCATCTGCGTCTCAATCCGGGCAACTGCCCGTGTTCGATCCGAACGTGGATTCGCCATAGCAGTCTCTCGTAGTTCCCGGTGGCAGACGAAGGTGGAGTCTACTGCAATGCGGATGTTCGGAGATCACTATTGCAGACCGATCAGGTTCATTTCTACAACCCGTCTACAGCTTGTCACTTCGGAGGGGAAGGTTTTGTCTTGGTGGACTGCTTTTTTTTTTGTTTTTCTTTTAAGAGGGCGATGGCCTTGAGATATCATCATTGAGTTGACCAGCCCCAGGTAACTCAGAATTATTTCATTGCATACATCTACGTCCATCAAGACTCGAACTTGGGACTGTATTTCAAGAGTTCATTGGTGTCCCAACTGAGCTAAGGCTCATTGGTAGTCGAACCACCAGTTTAACTATCGATGATGTAAAATTGGAAACTCGTCCTCGTGGCAACGCTTGGTATTGGCCCTATTGGGGTACGAATGGGCGTTGAGGTTCCTGGAAAACACCCACTACGCCTCGTGCTTTTCCTGCGAATTTCCGAGTCCTAGTGACCATTGCCCTCAGTCGCCTGATAGTGAAGAGACTAACAGGTCTGATGATGCCGCCAGAGGCAGGACCATAAAGATTAACCCCAGCTTTATCTCTTTTTGCCCTACTGTCCCTCGGAGTTAGGAATGGTTTTGGAAAACAAGTTGACAACAGATTTTTCTGTCTTTGTGGAATTTTGCTTCTGGTCCTTCCTATAATTTTTATCTTTGTGAGGGCAACTTTGAAACTGACACGGAAATTATCCCATTTCTGTCCCGGTGGTGCAACTTCCCTGCCTAAAATCCTCGGTTACGGCCCACCCACTCTGATCCGCGGTTGTCAAGGGTACAAACGCTGCACGCGGCGTGAGGTTGAGTATCACAGGGGTAGCTATAATGCGCTCGCAGTGAGCCTCGCACCTCATCTCACCAAATGCTGAAAATGAGAATGAATCTTCGGCTAGAACATGGAAAGATGCACCGCCACACTGCGTCTTCCTCCACTACGCACGTCAAATAACCTCATCATGTTGTAGGAGGTTACTTGCCGTGCGTAGTGGAGCAAGATGCAGGGTGGCAGTGGCAGTGCATCTTTCCATGTTCTAGCTGAAGATTCATTCTTGTTTTAAGCATTTGGTGAGTGAGGTGTGAGGCCTGCTGCGAGCTTATTACAGGTAGTACATAGCTTATTACAGGTAGTTTAGCGGTATGTTATGATTCTGGTTGTCTGTTGTCTGAAGACCAACACTCACTCACATAGACTCCCAGGTATGCCCATACATACACAGAAGGAAGGGGAGAGGATAGGAGTATCACACCACACAGGGAGAGATAAACACAGCGGAAGACTTGACCATGCGATATAACAGGGTACACTGAAAGTGCAATTCAATCCACTCAATCCTCACAACCAGTCATAAAGAAAAGCCGAGTAGATTACATCCAGGAAACAATGAAACGATGATAGTCCAAACCCAGTATCACACTGTTTATTAAACTCAGAGTCTCGAGTTGTCAGAATGACTTCAGAACTATAATGCGCTGCTAAAAAATGAGCAGCGCTTCAATCCCCAACCCTGATGAACCGCTATCACTACCCCTGAGTCCCTGAAACATCAAGTGCCACCCAGATACAGCCTCCAAAGGGAAGCGCCACCATGAAACAAGCGCCACTCAGAGAATGAAGAAGAAGACCAGCGCCACAATATCTGATGATGACGAAGTGTCGGAAGACTTCCCGGGTGGAAGTCTGCAGCAGCGCCACCAAATCCTGACAAGATGACCTCTTAGGAGGAAGCTGCAGCTATGGCTGCAGCGCCACAACCCTGTGACCTCACTCCGGACGAGGGTCCAGCAGGGCACCAACTTCTCTCGCCTCCAGCAGACCTCTCTACCTCAGACCTCCGTTCAGCCCCGCGTGCTGACAGAGTACAGCGCAGGTCGCAGCTATGGCCGGCGCTCCGAAGATCTGGCTATGTCTATCTCCCACAACGCTGAGTTGTCGCCACTTCCTGTTCACACGTAGCACAGCAGCAATGTACTCGGTACCGACTGCCAAAAGCCTACGAATCCCCCTCGGCGGCGGCCATCCGCGCACAAGGCCGCGGCCGCGGGACTTTGCGGCCGCATGGCGGCCATTAGGGAGGGGGGTTTGGGATTTGGGAAGCGCCATGGGGTGGTGCAACCCCAGCCCCACCCCCTCTGTGAGGAACAAGCCCTCAAGTGGCCCTATCAGACATCACATTGCTCTGGGCTAAGGCCCCCAGCAAGCCAAGTGCCCGCCCTAAGTGAAAGCGGACCTGAATATTCGTCAAAGGCGAAATTCAACATTTCCATATGGGGTATTCAGGCTCTTGCAGCACGCCAGTTGGTTGGGAAGACGCGTGAGCCTCGCATTGCTGCGGCATACAGTTGGCCCAGGCCTTGACAGTTATGCCTGGGCACACTTACACAAAGCAGGGCCGATACATTGGGAAGCAGGCCTTCGGCCTTTGCAAAGGCAGTAGTGCCAATGCACCTGCCCGGGAGCCCTGCACAGATGCCGCAAACAGCCCAAGTCCAGAAGACTCAGGCCGTGCCCAACTGAAAAGGGCCCAGGCCCTCAACTGTAAGTCTCGGGCCTGGGCACAGGGTCTGAGGCCCAACCGGAAGCTACTGGAAGCTTCCAGCCAGGCCACACGCAGCATCCAGCAGGCTGACACTTCGATAAAGGAAGTGAGGCAGCCGAGGCCATGCATTCTGGCCAGCATTAGTTATGCGGAAGTGCTGCTGCGCTCTCGCTTGATGCTGCGCTGCTGCCAAGGGCGCTGACGGGGCGCGAGAGGTGAGGTGGGGCGCTGCAGGGCAGCGGGGCGCAGGCGGCCATAGCCGGGCTGCTAGGCGCCAGGGGGTACAGCGGATGATCGGGTGGTCTTCAGGGAGTTCCTTGCAATTTGGTATCGGAGCTGGTTGTGATCTCCGCTTACCTGGCACCGGTGACATTGTCACTTGGTGCGCTGACGATGCTTCATGTGCAGTGAGGATACTTTGCGCTGGTTGATTAGCGGGGCCTAGGTAGAGAGGCCGGCCGCTGGAAGGCTGTGGCGACAGCGTGGAAGCTATGACGACAGCGGGTGTATGCATGATGATGAGAGTATGCTTACGCGGCATTTTGGCTGAGGTGGCACTGCATTGCGTTGTGGGTGGTACCGAGGCTAATGACGGGTCATCGAAATGCACGTCGGCCCAATTGGTGAGAAATCTGTGGGTGGGAGCAGCTATCTCCAGGTACGTTGTTCCCATTCCTTATCTACCCTCTTAATCTCTTCTTACCGTGAGGAAGTGAGTCCAACTTGAGTGTCCTCCCTTTGGTGAGGAGTCGTGTGCGCTTTGTCTTGAGAGATGACATTCTTCTCGGTGGCGCATCTGGCAGGAGAGGGCGGTGCCTCTGAAGGGCCCTGGTCGAAGCACGGGTCACGGTCACCATGCCAACCCTTGGGTATTAGTACACGCAGGCCATGCTGCCTTTTCCATTGAGGCTCTTTGTTGCGCTGATAGAAGGGGTGTGCGGACTGACCAGTCCTACTGAGACACTCCCAGACCGTCTATAAACATTTCTGGTTGGGGTCTGAACTGTCCACTGACTGTGATCGTCGTCCTGATTGCGACGTTAAAAAAGGACTCCAGGGGTTGTCCTTAAATTGCCTCTTGATCAGCCAGATCAGTCAGACGTAAGGCTCGTTGCACGCAAGGGTAAACAAAGGGGCAGGCTGGTCATAAGCATACTTCTTGGGCACAGGGGTGGGCTGTGGTTGCACACCTTAGACACCGCAGCTTGATGATGCTSACAGGTACGTTGGATACAGGGGAAGGGGATTCCAATTGTGAACTCAACTGTACATCATTGACATATCCATTGTGAATACATCTGCTCACAAAGCCTCAAATTAGTCTAAGTTTTTATTTTGATTAGTTGGTTGACCGACTGCTTACACCTAATAGACAAACTAGAGTAGGACTGTAATCTACCATAGTAAGTTCTTCTCGAATCTTTTGTGCAAACTAATCAGAATAGAGCTAGACAATGTGTACAGTTTGTGTAGATGTTGTTGATGCCGCTTGATTAGTAGACTAGGTAACTCATCGGGCATTTATTTATTTTTAGATCCGGTCAGACCCATGCTGCGGTAGGTTCCAGCGAGGACATTAGTGCAGACAGTGATTGCCTAACCTATGAGTGGATCAGAGGGTGGTGAAGGTGCAGATGACGATAGGAGGATAACAAGGCTATCATCCCTTAGAATTCCTAGAGTGTTCCAGGCCCTACAACCGGGAGAAGAGAGAAGATTAAGGGTTGAAGCTAGGGCCCATAATCTTGAGGCTGAAAGGGAAGCAGCAACAACTAGAGCGGTAGCAATGGCTACTGCTGCAAACTCAACTGGTCAAGGGCTAGGCATGCCGACCAGTTCACAGTCCACCTCCAGTACGTCAGGGGTTGGCACTAGTCAGATGGCGGGCTCGCGGTTCAGCTCGCCGCCTCCACGCACCCCAGAGCAGATGGAGCTCCAACAAGTAGAAAGGATCCGCTTAAGGCTAGAGGAGGAACTTAGGCAAGCTACTAAGAGAGAGAAAGAAATCAAAGAGAGAAGTGTCAGATTAGAGGGCAGGGAGGCAGACATGGCTGCGTTAGAGGCATTAGAGGACTCTGTCCTTCACACTACAGGAAAGATCCTAAAGGCAAGTGTCCTATCCATGCATGCGTACATAGACAGTAAAATGGACGCCATGCAGGATACCCTAGACCAGATCCTACAAGCGCTACACAAGCCAGGCATCCGGCCAGCAGCTTCACCATCGCTGCCACTCTCAGCGATGACAGGCCTCTATGCCGCTCAGTCTGGACCACCACCAAGCGTTACAGCAACAGCAGCTCTATCTCAGACTGTTGCTTCTTCATCTTCTGTTCCAGCGACTGTTGCTACACCACAGTCGCCACATGTCTCGCAAGCAGGACAACAATATCCTTGGTATCCCAAGTCCCCACTGAACCCACCTTCAACCTTCTCAGGAGACAAGAAGGATGAGGCTCTCGACACATGGTTGAGAACGGTGCCAATGTGGGTGAGGGCAAAAAAGGACATTGGTAGAAGAGGAAGTGATTACTGCTGCATCCTACTTAGAGGGTTCAGCAGCTCGCTGGCTAAACGGATTGGTAGCTTCAAAGGGCTTCGGCGGGAACATGCATGATTGGGCGCAGACCCACACCTTGGAGAGCTTTATGGACTTAGTGGAGGCGCGTTGGCACAATCCTCAGCAGGCACGGATTGCCACTGATGGGATTCTAAAGCTTGACTCTAGAAAGTACAAGTCAGTGCAAGAGTTGACCACAGCCGTAGAGCGTTTGATCGTTGTCCCAGGAGTGGAGTACAATCCACAGGTCTTATTGACCACTTTCTTGAAATGTCTTCCTACAGACATCAAGAACTTGTTAGCCAGCGAGGCTCGCCGAGAGTATCACATGTTTGAGTCATTTAGCAAGAAGGCCCTAGACTTAGAGGCTACGTTGGGTGGAGCTCAAACCCCTTCTACGGACGGAAGGAAGAAGAAGACTCCACAAGAGTGGAAGAAGAAGGGTAGTCGATTGATGATGGTTGATTCCGATGGGAACCAAACCGAGATCGATGATGTTTCCGAACTTGTGGAGGGTTCAGAGTTTGGCGGTGAGGAGATTGTTGAGGGTAGCAACCTCGCCGCCGCAGTTAAGACTAAGGCAAGTGGCCGCGGGAAGGGCGGTCAACAAAGGAGTCAGGGGCAGGCCGCTAACCCAAACAAAATAGTTGTTTGGGTTAGAGCAGGTATGGATCAAGATGTGTGGCGGGACCATTGGTCTCGTGGTGCTTGCATTAACTGCGGTGAGTATGGTCATACGCAGTTCAAATGCAAGAACCCGAAGGTCTCGCAGAAGATCCCTCCTAAGGGTGGGTTTTCTTCTTCTCAGTCTGGGGCCTCTACGAGCTCCAGCTCGGGAAACACTTAGGGCTAGTAGAAGTTGTAGCTCCTTCTACTCTCGTTGAAGCGGGTGATGTACCCTCCCCATTTCAAGAGATGGCCAAAGCTATTGACTCCTTAGTCACCCCGCAAACGCATCCGGACCCAACTATACTCTGTACGTTGGATATGTTTGAGGCCTTAGAGGACCTTCAAGGTGAGTGGTCGGCAAGGGACCCTCGTGAGTCCTGGGTGGCACTGAGTAAAGGTCCTAGAGAGCAGTTCGTTGTGGAAGTTGATGTGGGTGGTCGCAAGTGTGGCACCTTCGTAGACATTGGCTCCACGGGAAACTTCATAAGCCGCGACTGCGTTGACAGACTGTGCCTAAAGGACCGGGTGCAATGCCTTAGTAGACCGGTAGCATCTACTTTGGCCAACAAAGAGCGCATGATGGTGGAGGACTACATTAAAGATGTAGTCTGCACCTTCTCCTACCCAGGAGGAGAGATAAACCATAAGATATCATTCCTGGTGAGCAACGAGTTGCCCTTTGACATGTTATTGGGCATGTACTACCTCGAGGTTGCCAAGTCCCAGTTTGACTGGGACAAAAAGGTGTTGAAGCACGAGTTGCCTAGTGGGAGAACAATTAGACTGGCCAAGTACAAAGCCAGTAGGTTAGTAGACTCCTATGGGTGCTTATGCGCTTCTGCCTTCTACAATTATTATAAACAGAACCAAGAGGAAGGAATGTACTTAGTCTATGTCTCTGCAAAAGGGGAGCCCGTTAAAACACCCCCAGAGATAGAGACCATCGTCGCCAAGTACCCTGATCTGTTCGAGGAGCCTACAGGAGTCGTAGACAGGGAGATTGTCCATGCCATAGAGATCATCCCCGGTAGTAAAACACCTAAGGGAAGAATCTATAGGATGGCTCTAGCCGAGTTGGACGAACTCCAGCGGCAACTGAAATTGCTCACAGAGAAGGGTTGGATTCGGCCTAGCACTTCCCCCTTTGGCTCACCAAAATTGTTTGTTCCAAAGAAAGGGGGAACACTAAGGATATGCATTGATTATAGAGGCCTCAATGCCATCACCGTTAAGAACGCAGAGCCTCTACCACGCATCGACGACCTATTGGATAGGGTGCAGGGATGTAAGTACTATACAAAGATAGACTTAAAGTCCGGCTACCATCAGATTGCCATAAGACCAGAGGACCAGCACAAAACGGCATTTCATACCAGGTACGGTCTGTACGAGTTTGTGGTGATGCCCTTTAGCCTTTGCAATGCGCCAGGTACATTCCAGCACGCCATGAATAGGATCTTCCATGACTACTTGGATAAGTTTGTTGTCGTGTACCTCAACGGCATACTTATTTTCAGTAGATCTGTCGAGGAGCATGCTCAGCATGTAGACACAGTACTTTCACTCCTTCGGCAGCACAAGGATAAGATAAACGTGGAGAAATGCGAGTTCGGTCGCACTTGAATCTTGTACTTGGGTCATGAAGTATCCGCGGATGGGATTAGGCCCGGAGATGCAAAGGTGGCCAGCATACGTGACTGGCCACGACCCCAGTCTGTGACTGAGGTCATATCGTTCTTGGGAATGTGTGGTTATTACCGCAACTTCGTAAAGAACTATAGCACGACCGCATCTCCCTTGATCGATCTAACTCGACTTGACACACCATGGGACTGGACCGACGAGTGTGACACAGCATTCAAACGTTTGAAGCATGCTCTCACACACCATGAGGTTCTCATGGTACCCGATCCGCAAAGGCCGTTTGTTGTAACCACTGATGCAAGCCAATATGGCATTGGCGCAGTGTTGGCTCAGCAGGACGGGAAGAAGTTGAGACCGGCCGAGTACATGAGCAAAAAGATGTCATCAAAGAAGTTGGCAAAGTCCACCTACGAGAGGGAACTCTATGCTCTCTACAAGGCACTTGTCCACTGGAGGCACTATCTATTAGGGAGGTTCTTTTATCTGAGAATTGACCACCAGACTCTCAAGTGGATCAAAACGCAACCGGTTCTATACGATGCACTCAAACGCTGGATTGAAGTCATAGATCAGTATGACTTCAAACTAGACTATGTGAAGGGAGAGTACAACAAGGTTGCAGATGCGTTGTCTAGAAGGGCAGATTACCTGGGTGCGCTGATTTCTGAGTTTGGCTTATCGGAGGATGTAACTCGATCTATGGAGGAAGCCTACAAGGAAGATCCCATCACGATGGACATCATGAACAAACTTCAGGCTAAAGATAAGGCCACTACTGATGAGTTTGTGATGGTGGATGGGTTGCTCTTTCTTGAGAAGGCAGGATTTTAGAGATTAGTTGTTCCGTCTAGGGAAGATTTGCGTAGTTTGTTTTTAGGAGAATGCCATGACGCAACGAGACACTTCGGCTATAAGAAGACTAGTGCTAACTTAGTATAGCGATTTTGGTGGCCTAACATACAGGACGATGCAAAGAAGTACGTACAGATCTGTCAGGTCTGTCAGCGGGACAAGCCGCGGACTCAAGCTCCGCTTGGGTTACTCAAGCCTCTACCCATTCCTGCTGGCCCAGGGGAGAGTATCTCCATGGATTTCATGGACACTCTCGTGACCAGCAAGAATGGCAAGAGGCACATCTTCGTCATAGTGGATACGTTCACTAAGTACGCTAGACTAGTTGCCATGCCAGAGACAGCCAGGACTGAGCACGTCATCAAGTTGTTCATGGGCAACTGGGTGCGTGACTTTGGACTTCCAAAAACGATCATTAGTGACAGAGATGTACGATTCACAAGCGAGATGTGGAAGAAGGTCGCTGAACAGATGGGCAGCCAGCTTCAGATGACTTCTCGGAATCACCCGAAGCAAATGGGTGGGCTGAACAGATGAACCGAGTGGTGCAGCATCTGCTGAGGCATTACATCAAGCCCAACCAGGAGGACTGGGATGAGAAATTACCTCTCATCGCAGCCCCACCGGCGTCAGTCCTAATCAACTGCATCTGGGGTGGAAGCCTAGATCTGCTCTAAACTTCCTCCTGCCTGAGAACCGAACTGCTGCAACTCCTGGAACCATTGAATTTGGTGTCCAGTATGAGAAACTGTTGCAGCAGACTGTCGAACACATCAAGAAATCTCAAGCAGCTATGATTGCTTCTAAGAACAAGCATTGCCGACAGTCCACATTTCAGGTAGGGGAACGTGTCTGGGTCAAGGCTAGTGAATTGGGATAGGAGTTTGGCATCTCTAGGAAACTAATGCCTCAGTATTTCGGTCCCTGGGAAGTCCTAGACATTGTGGGGAATGATTTGGATGGTCCCTCGTACGTTATCCTTATCCCTGGTCACTTACGCACTTACCCTGTTTTTCATGCCTCCAAGCTTGCACCTTTCGCTGAGACAGCACAGTTCCCATCACGGAGATCTATGCTGCCCCCAACCATGGATGGCCACATGGACGTCGACAATATCCTGGATCACAGAGACACGTCTGTTCCCAAGCCACCTGGCAGGGGAAGACCTCCCAAATCTGCGACGGAATACAGAGTACAATTCAGGCATCATACAGATCCGAAGGAAGATTGATGGATCTCAAGGGAGGAAATTGTCAAGACAGCTCCTCAAATCGTGGCAGATTATGAGAAGAGGTTAAAAGGGAAGGCACCAACATGAAGCATCTCAGCGGACTTTCGAAGCTAAGGGGGATGGAATGTCAGGAACAAGCCCTCAAGTGGCCCTATCAGACATCACATTGTTTTGGGCTAAGGCCTCCAGCAAGCCAAGTGCCCCCCCTAAGTGAAGGCGGGCCTGAATATTCGTCAAAGGCAAAATTCGACATTTCCATATTGGGTATTCAGGCTCTCGCAGCACGCCAGTTGGTTGGGAAGACGCGTGAGCCTCGCATTGCTGCGGCATACAGTTGGCCCAGGCCTTGACATTTACGCTTGAGCACACTTACACAAAGCAGGGCCGATACATTGGGAAGCAGGCCTTCGGCCTTTGCAAAGGCAGTAGTGCCAATGCACCTGCCCGGGAGCCCTGCACAGATGCCGCAAACAGCCCAAGTCCAGAAGACTCAGGCCGTGCCCAACTGAAAAGGGCCCAGGCCCTCAACTCTAAGCCTCGGGCCAGGGCACAGGGTCTGAGGCACAACCGGAAGCTACTGGAAGCTTCCAGCCAGGCCACACGCAGCATCCAGCTGGCTGACACTTCGATAAAGGAAGTGAGGCAGCCGAGGCCAGGCATTCGGGCCAGCGTTAGCTATGCGGAAGTGTTGCTGCGCTCTCGCTTGATGCTGCGCTGCTGCCAAGGGCACTGACGGGGCACGAGAGGTGAGGTGGGGCGCTGCAGGGCAGCGGGGCGCAGGCGGGCATAGCCGGGCTGCTAGGCGCCAGGGGGTACAGCGGATGATCGGGTGGTCTTCAGGGAGTGAGGCGTTGTGTGGGATAATCAAGGTCTGATTGAGGGTGACGAGATACGTACTTGGTACATGAAAAGAGGTCGGCGATGGTGTTGACAGTCATGTACATTGGTCTTCGTGAGCCGAAGTGATCCTGTTGCGTGAACCAGCTGTAGAGAAGGCTAGTGTGGTAGAGTAGGCTGGGCTCTGGAAGCCAGACAGAGAGGGCGACTTTGGATACTGTGTTGGTGTGGCCTACGGGCTTGGGCATTGGCTCATTACTTCATTGTATTGCTCTTTATGGATGGTTTTCTCGGTGCATTTGTACTCTCTGCTTGGGACACGACTACTGGTTCAGCTGTGTGATTTCGCAACTTGGTTTTATGTATAGCGCTCACACTTATATTCCTTGCACCTCGAACAAAAAAAAAAACAAAAAAAACTAGGCTACCAGAGTGGCCTAGGGTCACTTGCCCGGCCGAGCCAAGAAAAATAAAAATAAAACAATATTTTTAAATTTTATTTTTTATTTTAATTTTGGTGAAGAATTTCTTTTTTTTCCAAACAGAAGAGTTATATTATACAAGCCGGGAAACGGGCCCGGCGTCCCTCACATGTATGCTGGCGGCTCTCGGTTATGAGCGAGGCATCACCGGCCAAGCCCGTATCAGGAATCGCGAAGTCCCAAAAAGGAAGAAAGTAAGAAAGCAACTAAGAAGTCTACAACAAACCGTAAGAAAGTAAGAAAACAACTAAGAAGTCTATAACAAATCGTAACTTCTACTTCTAACTGGCCCATTATTATTATTATTATTATTTTTTTTTTAACTCATCACTAAAATTCCAATTCCCTTATCCTAAAAATTCAACGAAGTTACAAATCCTAATTAATAACCCTAATTCCACCGATCATAAAAGAAAACGTACACAAAGGCAATCAAAAGAACAAAGAAGAACCAAAGGTCAGCGTTGCTTGATGATGAGCACTTTTCATCCAAAGTTACTACCAACCCCTTGCTAATCCGCTCTGCCACCCGCGCGGCAGGGGTCGGTGCCCGCAGGCCCCCAATCTGCAGGCAGAGACCCCGCAAAACCCACCCACCTCCTCGTGATTCAAAGCAGATAGCACCTCCCCTCTCTCCTCATTCAAAAACATCAACTCCCACCACGATGCTGTTTTCACTACCCAGGGGATTACCCCACCTCCCGCGCGGCAGGGGCCAAAAGGCCCTGCGAAATCCACCCACCTCCTCGCGATTTAGGGTAAACTCCTCCCTCAATTCTGCATACACCCTCTACGGATGATTCGCCGCCCTCCATGACGAAGCCCCGGTGGCATGATGCTCACCACAAAACCGCAAAAATTTAGATGGCAAGAGGACACCAGCCTAGACGGATAAGATAAGCCGAAACCCATTTCAACATCTCAGCGGTAATACCCTACCTCCCGCGCGGCAGGGGTCAAAGACCCCGCAAACCCACCCACCTCCTCGCGATTCAGGGAAAACCACAACCACTAATCCGCGCTGTCTCACAAGGAAACGCCACCGCCCACCATAATGACGATTCTACAGCGTAGCACTCTCTCGCTCATCTTATCACATCCAAAAAACGCTATACTAAAGTTACAACAAATCACAACAGCTATCACCGAACAAAGAACAAGGAAAAACACCGGAAAACCATATTTGACCTCAGCCCTAATCTAATAAAACCACTGACGCACTCACACATTCACTCACTCACACATACACTCTCTCAATGCCCTATAACGGGCCATAACAGGTGAACGCTCCGAAGGCAAGAAGTCGATAGGCGCTCCTGGAGATCATAAACAGAACTGCGCATTGAACGTGAGAAGTCCTGCAACAATCTCCATTACTCATGTCACCATCACATTCGCTGGCTGACACTGACAAGATGTCAAGGCAGGAGACCCCCGCAAAACCTCCGTATCAGAGACCGAGGGACATAGCCCCCGATCAGTCTCGTCAGGTATTGTACAGCATCCAGATCCCACCCGCTAATGGTCCCCACATATCGCCCTCTCCTTCCTCCACCGAGCTAGGATTCTTGACGAAGTCAAGTGAGACAAGTAATGACCAGGAGCATGTCACTGCTCCCTCGGCACTCCCCCCAAACACCCCCGTGTTCCTCCCTGCGCCGCCATGGTCACCCCCACGCCAAGTTCTGGCAATCAGAGCAGACAGATTTCGTCGACCCCGTACGCGATCCCCCAACGCCCGGATGCTGCTACTCGGGCGGCGCGTTAGCGCAGCGTTACCGCTGCGCTAACGCACCGTGGTTAAAATATTTCAGGAGCGTTGAGTTTCCTTTGGTGAAGAATTTCGATGTGACCCTGAGGCAAAAGTTGTTCAGTTTATTTTCTGCATAACATAGTTTTTTTTTCGGATTTTTTTGATGTTTTTTTTTTTTTTTTTTTTTTTT